GGCATCCATTTTTGCCTTCCTTTTGCCATCATCAGCAGCCGTCTGCTCATCACCTTTCTTTGGTGCCTTGTTACCATTGCTGGCATCACCATCATCATCATCATGCTCACTCTTCCTCTTGTTGTCCTTTGGCTTCTTCATGCTTTGGTCCTCATGCTGTTTCTTTTCATTGGTCCGGGGATCATCCCGCCTGGATGCTTCTTGCTGCAAATATTCCTTCCGGCCAATCTTGTTTGACTTCTGTTTTGGCTTCTCAGTGGTCTGATCATCATCCGGCCCTTTTTCCTCACGTTCCTCCACATTAACTTCCTCCTTCTTTCCCTCCTTACGCTCATCCTTCTTGCGTTCCACCTTCTCTTTCTTCTCAGGTTCCTCCGCCAACTTAACTTCCTTCTTCTTTCCCTCCTTAGGATTCTTGCATTCGTTCTCAGGCTCCTCCGCCTTAACTTCCTTCTTCTTTCCATCCTTAGGCTCATCCTTCTTGCGTTCCACCTTCTTGTTGTTCTCAGATTCCTCCGCCTTAGCTTCCTTTTTCTTGCCCGCCTTAGTCTCATCCTTCTTGCGTTCCACCTTCTTGGGCTCACTCTTTTTGGATTCATTCTTGGGGGCGTTCTTCAACGCCTCCTCTTCATGCTTTGTGTTGGATTCCTCCTTCTTCTTCAGCTCTTCATCCTCTGAGATGTCATCCAATACTTCATCATCAGACAAAGGTTCTTCTGAATCCAATGCATTAGATTCCTCTTCTGAAAGTGCTGAACGCTTCTTTGCTGTCTTTCCTTTCCCTTTGCCTGCTTTGGCCTTCGCCACTCTGCCTGCTTGAGGCTTCTCCTCCTTGGCTGCCTTTGCTTCTTTTTTCTCTTGTTTTTTTGGCGTCCTTTGCATCTTGTTTTGCATTGCTGATGTCTCTCAGCAGCGCTGCCTTCCTCTCTTCGCTCATGTTCGGATTGGACTTGGCATTGCTGGTCAGAACTGTCATCGGCATCTCGGGCTTTTGGGGGACTTTTGGCATCTCAGGTTCACCTTTCTCCTGCGGGTGTCAGTTAGTGGAGCCGGCGTGAGTGTGAATCATACAATGAAGTCACAATGAAGTATGAACATTAGTAATATACATGATCATCTTTTGCATTCGGTGTTCAAGACACCAACACGACAAGCCTGTGGGACTTTCTGCCCCGAGGCTTCAGATGTAGCACCCTCTGGGCTGAACAAGGCCGCCTGAGAATCGGAAAAGAAACTAGTCGTTAGAATATGTTAGAATCAGATTGAGTTCAAAAAGAACGACAAAGATTCCCAATACCTGAGCAATTGGCTCTGTTTGGCGGCGTCTGAATTGTACCAGGGCTTTCTGCCGCCAATCTCTGGAAGTCCTCAAGTGGGGTCTGAACACATATTTCACTAGCTTTTGGTTTGATGAGGAAACGATTTGCAACAACTTCATGTGTCAAATAGTGGCCTGGTCAAAGCCTTGGCTTGCCAGAAGATCTTCTAGATTTGGCATGGCGATGGGTCTTTTTGTCGGTCTCGCTTGGTGCACTTTGAACTATGTGATTGGTTTGAGCCAGGAGCTGGTAGATACTGCTGGCTGCTTTACGAAGAGGCGCAAATCACAGCACAAATCGGTCACTTACACCAAACAAGCGACTGGCAAAGAATTGATTTCCAAGACGGGTTTCAATAAACAAGACAGGCCGGGATACTGTGTTTCTCCTGGAGCCTCATCTTTTGGAGTTTTTTCTTCTTTCATAAATCGGCTCGAACCGTGGGCAATTTGAAACTCACCAGTCCCCAAGGTGACATCAGAGAAGGAGACCTGGGCCAAAATGCTAAAGGGCGAAAGACATATACCTGTTCCCATTGACACGCGCGAAAGTTGGACGGGTTGGAAATTCGATCCAGACCAACAGTAAGCCAAGTCTCTAGAAACAGCTTGAATTGTTGACCATCAACAATTTGGCTCACTGTTCCATCGCGCTGCTTCGCCCTCGTCAATACCAGGGTCGTATTTGCCACGCGACCGCTCATCTTGCTTTCCAAAATGTATTTGTCAAGGAGGTCCTCCATCGTGAGAGGCTCGTCCCATGGTTCCAAGACCTCTTGCTCGACCGGCTCCGCAGGTGCAACCTCCAAAGACTTCGCACTCAAGTGGAACCTGAGGTGCAAGTGCAGAGTTGGGAGATTGGGATGGTTGGGGCATTGGGATGGTTGGGTCGCTGTGCTCCAACCACTTAGCAGCCAACCCAAAAATGACTCTGAGACTAAAAAGGCATGCAAACTTGAGTCATTAAACCTTGAGTCAAATTGTTCCAGGAGTTGTTTCCAGTCAGCTCCGTGGACAACGTCCTCCACATGCCTGGCTCGAATGGAAGCTGGGAGTGATACCTTGTAACGTTCCCAGCCACGCTTGCCTGGCGTGGCATCATACTCCACCTTTGCAAGCCGCAATGGGTAGGATGACAGCTCCAACTTGCTGTTGGGCGCTTGTGCTGGTGGCTTTGGCTCGTATGCACGGACGTCTTTGAAACGAGCATGTCCAGACTTCCATTCCTAGAGGGGCCGGGCTCTTCACAATTACCACCCCCCTCTCAAGAGTGGGTCGAAGATGGATTATAACGATTATACCTTGAAGTAAGTTGGTGGTGATTCCAAACTTGTTTAAAAGTTAAAGCACAGCAGTCAAAATAGACTACAACCCCATCCTCAAGCAACTCTAGTGCTACTGTCTTCTCCACGAACTGTGCAGTGCTCAAGTTCTTTGTCATGCTTAAAGACCTGAAGTTGATGTTGGTGCCTGGGTTGGACTCTTGCCATGAACGTGTAGCCCGCTCCAACATCCCGTCGTAGGGAGTAAGATTGATCAAAGCGATGGTCTCATGTGGCAAGTCGGCTTTGGCGAGAAGACTTTCCATGATAGCTTTTGCCATGGCATCTTGCACCAAAAATTGGGCGCTCTCTTGTACCTCTGACAAAGACCTCCGAATCCGGGTTGGAATGATATGGCGCCATACCACGGCACTACACTCAGACTCACCAAAAATGGGGTAGTCATGGGTCATACTCCAACTTACAGTAACCGTACCACCTCAGATGGGATGTTTAACATGCTTTTTTGTCACCCAGCAGGTTTTACCACCCCTGCCTTTGGCCCTCGCTCGCATGCGGGAGCGCGTCTTTCTCTGCAACAGGCACTTTGTAGCTCCCCTCGGGCTGCCAAGCGACCTCTTGGCGCGTGGCCCTGCAAGGACAGGCGGACAGTCATTATCATTGTCAAGTGTTTATGATTGCATCTTGCTCTTACATACTAAACAGACAGTGAGTCGTGTTAACACCATCATGTGTTTAAGAGTAGACGCGCTGGACAGTTGCCATTTTCTTACCTTGGATGTTTGTAGAAACCGGGCCTTTCTTGCAAGAGCTGACACTGCATAAAACAATTGCCAGCGTCACTTTTGATGCA